TATAAAGTTATGTTATTATATCGCTATATCATCAGCCAATCAAAACTACTTTAGAGATAAAATTATTAGAAGGAACGTTAATGTAGATGAACAACAATATTGTGATACCCCAGAAGTTGCTGGAAAAAAAGTGTCATACATTAAGAACAACTTTAATCTTACAGTTTAAAAAGGATGGTTCAACAGTTTTAAAATCTTTACCAGTTAGACCAAAGATAGCTTATGAAGTAAACCAGTATATCATCCAGTATTCCATCAAATGCGCTGTAATAGTTTTTTAATGTCAACACTTCAACGATAGAATAAGAGCAAACAAGAAATTGATTAAATTAATTAACAGGTTAAATTAAACGCTTATTAAATACTTAAGAGTGTATTGAAAAAAGTTCTAGAGAGCTATGACTATGATAAGGATGTTGTCTGGATGACAGGTAGTGTAGAGGTTGAGAGAAATAACCTTACAATGGAAGTCAAAGTAATTTGGAAATTGATTAACCTATTTCTCTGGAATGACAAGCAGAGTCTGGCGATTAGATACAAGAGTTTATATTAGAGGAAAACTTCTTTGCAAATAGTTCTGTTTTATCTTTGGGAAAGTTAATAAACCAAGTATATAAAGGTAACATGCTAAAATTTTCAGTTAATAACTCTTTTGAATATTTTCTTAGTCTCTAGAACCTTTTGAAGTAAAACTCAAGTGAAAGTAAACTTGGAGCCAAGCGTCAGACCTTTTTACATTAATTTTTTGCAATAGCAAAAAAATGTTTGTTCTCAAGAGAGTTGTTTTAATAATTTTTTTGTGTGATCAAGGTGAAAAACGTTATTAGCATTCAAAATAGTAGCTGCATATAGAGATGAAAACCATGGAGTTGAATGCAGCTTGACTTAAAACTGAGATTAAGTAGTAGGCACAATTATTAGCAAGACACCAGCCTGAGGACTGTCACAATCATGAAAAGTAATGAAGGGTTTTTTATATAGTCTTAATACACACCAAAAGTATCAACATGGACACCATCCACGTGCAAAATTGCAGTGTAAATACTATTGTAAAATATGATATTTTACAGCTGTTGATAGAATCAGTCTTTCTGAGAGCTATCACAGAGTTTGGGAAACCTTATTACCAGTTGGCCTTAGAATCATTAAACTGAGTTTATACTTATAACATGTGAGTAGAGTCAAGAAGATCCAGCATTCTTTATCCTAGTTAGGAAATGATTTAACTTAGATTTTCATTTACACCAGTCTGATAGATAAGCAAATAGTACAAGGCTAATCAACATAATTTTTCTGTTTCCTCTACAATCATTGCAAGGGATTCCTTTACAAGGCAGTAGCTGTATGCAGGTAGACTTCCCCCAATATGGTTACTTTAATCAGATTACCATCTCAGCTTTTACTTAACTCAAAGCCACAGGCAGGAATATGTATATAGCTCGCACAGTTTAGCCCTATCAAAACTTCTCATAGAAAAATTAAATTACCTGCATATAGTGTTTTTTCAAGTTTTTTTATCATTCTTTTTTTAATGAAATCAGTCGATTTTTGTGAGAGATTTATGTGTTACATTTTGTCTAAAATTAATATATATATATATATATATATATATATATATATATATATATATATATATATACATATATATGTATATACAAGTATTATAATTATTTAGGTTTTAGTATATATTACCCTACATTGTTATTGAGCACTTTTTACCAAGAAATATTTACATAATTATATATATATATATATATATATATATATATATATATATATATATATATATATATATATATATATATATTTATATATATATATATATATATATATATATATATATATATATGTATATATATATATACATATACATATACGTATATATATATATATATATATATATGTATATATATATATATATATATATATATATATATATATATATACATATATATATACGTATATATATATATATATATATATATATATATATATATATATATATATATATATATATATATATATATATATATATATATATATATATATATATATATATAACTATGTAAATATTTCTAGGTAAAAAGTGCTCAATAACAATGTAGGGTAATATATAGTAAAAACTAAATAATTATAATACTTGATTTACTTCAAACATAACTCGGAGTTTCACGCAAACTTGCAATCATCAGATGTTACAAATCTTACAAATCTCGTTAAAAATAACAACAACAAAAATATATTAAAAATATTGTGAAGTGTCCTCTTTGATGGTATTAAAGTTATTGATTATGTACTTATTTTCATGGCAACACTTAGACACAAGATCATTTGGTTTGCTTAACAAGGTAAGGTAACCTTTGTAAAACAAATGCAAGTTCATTTTTTTTGTTGTTATTTTTAAGATATTTAATATCTGATGATTGCAAGTTTGCATGAAACTTTGAGTTATGTATGAAAAAAATTATTTAGTTTTTACTATATATATATATATATATATATATATATATATATATATATATATATATATATATATATATATATATATATATATATATATATATATATATATATATATATATATATATATATATATATATATATATAAATATATATATATATATATATATATATATATATATATATCTGCATAGAGTGCTCAATGCAGAGTTGAGCAAACTATATTATGTAAAGTTAAGTAATAACATCTAGTAATTAAAGAAACATGACTTTGAGTTTTGCGCCACTATTTGGTATATAATACATATACAATATAGTATATATACCATTATATTGTATATCTACTAGTTCTTAACATTGGTTGCCTAAATAAAAAGCGCACTTATACAATCCTAGTCATCGATAAATTGACTTGACTTAATTTGAAATTGACCTCAAACAAAACGCCCAGGTATGCACTGCTATCTCTAAAGCCAACAAGATGCTTGACATGCTTAAAAGGATATTTGAATGCTCTGCTTCAAGTTGGAACCCACATACAACTAAAGATATAAATATATTAGAGAGAGTCCAGAGATGCGCCACTAAAATAGCTCATAGTATAAAGCATCTACCTTATAAAAAAAGACTATGCATTTTAGACATGACAAAGAAAGATGTCATTGTGGAGACTTAATACAGCTTTTTAAAATCAAATCTGGTAAAGAAACTGTTTTGTGTCTTGCTACAGTCATCGAAGTTGCTTAATCAAATATATAGTTCAATTTAATAATAGCAGAAGTAACTTCTTTATAAATATGCAATTAAACACTCTATGCAACATGAAAAAGTTGCATTGTGGTTAACTAACTAACTACTATTTGGAATATGTACTATGTTACTTATGGTAACATATGATGATCTTTTTGGGGGTGAAACTCAGAGTCATTTTTCTTTAATTGCCAGGCGATACTTAATTTTAAATTGTATATATATATATATATATATATATATATATATATATATATATATATATATATATATATATATATATATATATATATATATATATATATATATATATATATATATATATATATGTATGTATGTATAAAGTTAATCAAATAATTTTCAAGCTTACCTACCCTCTTCCATCTGAGCTTCATTACTCAATTGTTCAAAACTTCACACTACGAGCACATATATATCAAGCAAGAGAGTTGATTGGAATGGATGATACTGGTGTTTCAGGTTTGATTTTTTTACTCTATTGAAAACTTTGATTTTTTTTTCATTTTGAATTTTTTTTTATAATTTCTAAAAAAGTTGGAATTTATTATGAATTTTATGTATAAGATAGAATTTTTTTTTTTGTTGGAATTTATTGTAATTTGCTATTGCAGAAATATTACTTTATAAAGGTTTTGTGAAGTTTAGCAATAAAAATACTAAAACAAATTAATTCAAAATCTTTTCGCAGTTTTAAATAATTAGATATGATTAGAATTTTAACAGGTTTCTTTCTTAATTGATTCTTGGAAAATGTAAAAAATGTTTTTAATGTGTCAAGTTGGTTGTATTAAAATTTATTGATAAACATTTATTTTAGATGCATTTAGTCGTGTAATGTTAAACAATCATGCTGGTGACACTAATATTATACAACAAACAAGATGCCCAACATGGAATCAGACTATTTTATTTCAAAATCTTAAGTTTTATGGAGATATTGAATTTGTTTTAAGTAATCCACCAATCATAATTGTTGAGCTTTTTGATTATGATTCAGAGGTATTTTTATTATTTAAAGTTTTAGTGTACTAGAATTCTTAATCTGCTAGAATTCTTTTTATATTTAGGTGAGGATTTGTAAACATTAAAAAAGACAATGGTTGCACTGGCAAAAAATAACATTTTGTCCATAACATAATGAAAGAAACGTTTTTTTTTATGATTTTGATATTTGGTTTATATATATATATATATATATATATATATATATATATATATATATATATATATATATATATATATATATATATATATATATATATATATATATATATATATATATATATACACATATATATAATAAGAAAATTAACTATACCTCAACATACGTACAAAATATAAGATACTTAATTGAAGCATTTACATATATTCTATAAATTTTTTATTAGGTTAAAATCAAATTTATTGGGCGTACTTTTTGTCGACCTATTGTTAAGCGAGCATCAGATCCTTATGAAAAACCTTTCTTCCCACCAAAACTTGAATGGTTTCCTATTCACAGAGGAAATAATTCTGCTGGTGAATTGCTTGCAGCTTTTGAGCTTTTACAGGTTTTTAAAATTTTTTACATTTTTTACAGGGATAATTTTAAATCATTAATGACATAAGGACTATAAATTCTGAAAAACTTTGTTATAAACTATTTCTTAAACACACCTCAAAACACGGTCCATCCTACACCATAAAATGTTTTGATGACAAAAAAGCTTGTGGATATTACTATAATAGTATGGTTGTTATGTTTTAGAATTTAAATGTATCTGAAAATTTATCATTTATATCTCTAAAATATAGTTTTTAGCCATTTTAAGACTTTTTAAGATAAGACGATAAGCTACAAATAAGATTGTTGAGCTTAACTATTTAGTGATATAGCAATAATTTTTAAATATCAGGGTTGAAAGTATTATTGGAAACTAGTGCCTTTCCAATCAGTGTACTTGCCGATGTGTTTGGTTTGTTTTAAAAAGAAGATATGGTTGGTTGTCTCCTCCCTGAAGGTTTTTTTTGTGGTTTCAAGACCTCAAAATGTACTAAGAAATGCTTTACTTAAATCAATATGAATTCAAGAACTTGATAAAGTTTAAATATGTCTCAATAAAGAAAAAATAAAGGTTCTCAAAGAGAAAAATTAAAAGTAGTTACACACAACCATTGATGTTAGCTTTTATTGTTAGTTATTAATTGAAAGCAATTTATATATGATTTTTCAATTAGTATATGGTAATTCATTTATTTAATATCCTATTTTTATTTTTGTGCTCAGGTTTATTTAATATAGCAATAATATCACCAACTGGATAACAATGCATATCTGCTGTTATCCCATAGAAATGCATATCTGCTGTTATCCAGTTGGTGATATCCAACTGGATACCAATGCATACCTGGTGTTGTTAGACACTTAAAATAATTGTTAACTTTTAGAAATGCAGGAAAGAAATCACCCAAATATTTCACTAATAACTTATCACCGATATTAATTGTCATTTTAAGAAATGATGAATCTTGATGTAACTTTAAGAGATTAAGAATATTAATGCCATTTTAAGTCATGATGAATATTGATGCCATTTTGAGTGAATTTTGTGTATTATATATATATATATATATATATATATATATATATATATATATATATATATATATATATATATATATATATATATATATATATATATATATATATATGTTTATATATATATATATGTATATATGTATATATATATATATGTATATATATATATATATATATATATATATATATATATATATATATATATATATATATATATATATATATATATATATATATATATATGTATATATATGTATAGCATAAAAAATTGTCAAATTTACTTGTTATTAGTTTTACATTTTTAAATAGCATTGTTGATATGAAAAATAATGCTATAAGCCCTTCCTTTAGCAGGAGGAATATTTTAAAATTTTTAGCAAGTGCTTTGCATGTAATACCAGCTGTTTCAGTTTCTAAAAACAAAAAAAATATATATCTTAAAAAAAAAAAATCTCAAGAAACCTGAAAAATTTATTTATTTTTCTTTATTTTCCCATTAATTGCAGTTGATAAAAACTAATTGGAAAACAAGTCTGCAAAGACTTGCTAATGCATAGAAAAATACAACAAAAAAGTTCATTTATACTTTCACTACTATTAAGAATTTTTTTCAATGTTTCAAAGACTTTTATAACTTCTTTCTAATATTAGATTTAATATTAGATGTTAGCTAAAATTTAATTAGAATTATTTTTGTTTCTTACATTATTAAATATTTATAGTCATTAATAGTTTTATAGTTCAGTTTTATATTTTTATATTTATATTATAGTTAAAAATAAAAAATTGTAATAAATAAATAAACTAATTAAAAATAACTTGAACAAACAAGTTCGAACAACAAAGAAACTACTTAACAACTGCAACAAAAAATTTTGATTTTGACAACTTGATTATACAACTTGATTATACAACTTGATTATACAACTTGATTATACAAATTGATTATACAACTTGATTATATAATTTGATTATACAACTTGATTATACAACTTGATTATACAACTTGGTTATACAACTTGATATAACTTGATGGATTTGTGAAGCAGTTTAGTTTAAAGATTTCAAAATAACAATTATTTTGTTTTTATAATTTTTTTAAAGACAACAATGAATAATAAAGAAAATCTTCCACCAGAACTAATTGAAGCAAAAGATGGAGGCTACTTTACCATACCAATGAATATTACACCAGTTATGACTAAATATTGGATTGAGGTTTGATGTTTTTGAATTAATATTTTTTTATGTTTAATTTAAGATAATAAATATACTTATTCAAATTATTGTTTTATACAGCTATTCACGAAAGTTTAAACGAGGGTGTAATTTTAAGAATAAATCTTTGACTTTTCTTTAATAAAAATGTAACGGAAATAGATATCAAAATAATTTTTCCCCATTCGGTAACTAGGTTTTCTGATCAAAAATAAATTAAAAAAGTAGGTTTCGACTCATAAGAGATCTCTTGGGAATTTGATTAATAGATAGATGTGAGAAATTAATTGGTGTCATAAAAGTTTAAACGAGTTTATTAAAATTCAATTATTTGTTAAGTAATTAATTAATCTGTTGCAAAAATTGTTTTAAAACATTAACATAAGTAGATTGAGTGGTTTTCAGTCAATAAAAATTGTCACAACATTATTCAACAACTTCATATTCAACGAAAATCAACTGAAATCATTGCAAATTTCAAACAATTTCAAATTGCGTGCAAATGGGGCGAAAACCAGTTTCAAGTGAGATCAAATGGCAAATTATTGGTATGTCCAAGTCAAAAATTCACAGCAACGTTCAAATAGGCAAAAAACTTAGGGTTTCTGAATCTGGCGTACGAAAAACAGTCAAAACCTGGAAGCTTAACAAGGACATCGTTGACATGCGGCGTTCCGGGAGACCATCAAAGCTTAGTGACCGTGAAAAAAGTAGCATATTTAGAAGCTGCTGAGAGAATCCTAGACACAGCTACAAAAAGCTAGCACAAATCTTAAACGAGTCGAAAAATAAACATAATGTAAGCAGAGAGCTCATTAGGCGAACATTGCTGCAAAAAGGTATTGGAATGTACATTGCAGCAAGAAAACCTGTTTTATCAATCATGGACCGACGTAAACGGCGAATATGGTCAAAAGAACGATTAAGCTGGACTGTTGAAGACTGGTTAAAAGTTATTTGGAGTGATGAAGCTAATTTTCAAGTTGTAAACTGCAAGGGAAGACTATATGTCAAAAGAATTGCAACGGAGAAATATTCAGAACGGTTTTTGCAACCACGTTGACAAGGCATTGGAGGTTCCATTGGTATTTGGGAATGTTTTTCTCACAAAGGTATTGGTATGTGTGAGCTGTATGAAGGCCAAATAAATCAGTACACCTACAAAAATACATTGGAAACAAGTTTAATTCCATCAATCAGACAGTTGTATGGTAAAAGCAAGCAATTTATCTTTCAACAAGACGGGGCTCCAGCTCATACAGCTAAATCAATCAAAGAATATTTTTTGCAGAAAAAGATAAATGTGATCCCTTGGTGCCCTAGATCACCAGATCTCAACCCAATTGAAAATATTTGGTCTTGGATTGACAATCAACTTACTTATTACCAAATACAATCAACTGAGCACTTAAAGCAACTTTTGAATGAGTACTGGTTGAAGGTACCTCAAGAGATGTGCATGAAATTAGTTGAATTGATGCAGAAACAAGTTTACCTTTGCTTAATAACAAAGGCGGACATTTTAAATATTAACTTGGCATTTTATTTCCATTTTTTATTTGTTTGTAAAATTTCGTTTAAACTTTTGTGCTACTCTTTTTTCACATGTTTATGTTTGTAATTAACTTTTTTTAAATTTATATAAATCATTTCATAACAAGTTCACATTTATTCTAAACCAAATTACTTTTTATTTAACAAATAAAAAAAATCAAGTCGACATCATTTTTATTTATTTTTTATTAAGAAAAAAATAAACCTACTTGATCAAAATTATACTCTCGTTTAAACTTTCGTGAATAGCTGTAGCTAAAAAATTAAAAAAGTTGAATTTTATTTTTTATGTATGTATGTATGTATGTATGTATGTATGTATGTATGTATGTATGTATGTATGTATGTATGTATGTATGTATGTATGTATGTATGTATGTGTAAATAAAAAGCTTTTTAAAATCATTTTTTTCCATGGTATAAATTATGGTTTGAAATTAATCTTATAAATGGTATCAGTATGAACCAATGTAAAATAAGACTTTAGTGGGTGCTCCAGTCTTGGTAAGGTGATTACAAAAAAAAGTTTCTATAACCTTTTAAAAGTTTCTATAACATGACATTGATCCAATGTCATGTTTATAGAAAAAATATATATGTTGATATTTTTACTATCTGAGGCAGGTTGGTAGTCGGGTTTCTCAAACTCTGTGGTAGCTCTCAGAGAGGCTGATTTCATCAACAGCTAAAAAACTAGTACTAACAGTGCCATGTTGTACATGAATGGTGTCCCTGTTTGTACCTTTGATGTGCATTGTTGAGGCCACATTTGAAGCCCATTGTTACAGTTTAGGGTTTATTAATAGTTATGGGGAAATGGCTTAGATTAATAAATAGTGTACTGAGTACACTCTGTGCTTTGAATCAATTTATTTAACAAGTTTTAAAATGATTAAAGTACTAAAAACTATAAAAAATAAAAAACCATTGTCATCACTATGCTCTATAATCTTTCTTCTTTTTGCTAAAAAATGTGTTTCTTGCGTAACTTCTTGAATTCAGGCTGGCACTGAATCCTTTATTTTCTTTTGACTGTTATCAAGTCTCACTCTTCTCCATGGTTTTCCTCTTATTGTGCGACTGCAATTTCCATTCGTAACCATTAGTTTAATAACTATAAGCAATATCAATTCTCCAGAAAACAGGCATCTGTTTACTACTGCTAGAAACAATTGTAAAAAGGCTTTGTCTAACTCCAAATCTCAGCTCACAAAATCTTGTATTTCATCTCAAAAAATAGATTCATGTGACTTCTGAAGAATCCTTAACATTATCTATAACAAGGGGAAATCTGTTATTCGACCTCTCTTGTATAGTTTAAAATTTGTCACCTCACCTAAAGACAAAGCTGAATTGATTGCTAAGAACTTCTCATCAATATCATTTCTTAATTTCACTATTCTCTTTCTACCTGATATAGCTGATGAAAAAGTTAATCTTTTGCCTGACTTGTATCACTGCAGCTTCTGTATCTAAAGTGATTTCTTACTTAGACTCTTCTACAGCTTGTGGTTTGGACAAGATAACTGTTATAGTCTTGCTAAAGTGTTCTTCGGAGCTGTTGTCTATACTTTCAAAACTATTTAACAAATGCTTATCAGAGTCTTATTTTCCAGCATGCTGAAAAGCGGTATCTGTTGTCCCTATTTTCAAAGATTTAGCAGAGCAATCTAAATGGTCTAACTACTGTCCCATTAGTCTTCTTACTATTATAAGTAAGGTTTTTGTCTCTCAGAAATTCTCTTATCTAAGGTGGCATTGTTCACTAATGATACTACCATTTATTCTTGTCTTGATAAGAAACCAACACTCTCTGATTGCTTTGAGGGGGGATTTGAGCTTGAAAAGGATCTCACTTCTTCTACAGCATGGAGTAATCACTCAACTTTTTCAGCTAATTGTTATTGCAATAATTTAAATCTTCCTATATTTATTAACAAAAATGTACTTGATGAGTCATCAAGTACATTACCCTTTCTATTCTAGGATTAACTCTTACTTTTGATCACTGTTGGAAACCATATATATTAAATCGATTGCAAAATTAGAATTTACCCAGATTGCATCTCTTTATTGTATTTGCCACTATTTCACTAGGGATTCTATTCTTTATCTCTATAAATCTAAAATCTGTCCTTGTATGGAAAACTGTTGTGATATCTGGGGTGGATCTTCCAATGATGGTCTTTAACTTTTAGACAAGTTGCAAAAGTGCATTGTGAACATAGTTTGACCTGCTCTTGCAGCCAACTTTCAACCATTATCGCATCGCCATAATGTTGCTTTTCATTCTCTTTTCTATAAATCCTATAATAAGCACTGCTCATAAGAGCTGGCATCTTTTGTGCTCTACTATTAAAATATCTATCTACTAAAATTAATTTTTGTGTTACTTATCATTCAATTAAGTCTCATCCTTACACTGTGACTGTTCCTTAGTGCTCCAAAAATTCTTATTTGTCTAGTTTTTTTTTTTTGATTCATATAATTTGCAATCTTTTAAGTTGTCTGTTTATATTTATTTTATATTTATTTTAACTCTAACAGTGGAAGCTTTCAGCTTTGATGAAAGTAAAGATGTTGAAAAAAAAAAAAAAAAAAAGTATATATATATAAATGTATATATGTCAAATAAAAAGATTATATTACTAAAATATAGTTCTGATAAACATTAAACTCAACGATGAGTCAACATAAAATACAATTCTGTGTTAACTAAAAAATACAACATTGAACTAATGTAAAATATTACACTCAACCTAAAATACAACACTGTGTCATTTGTAACTAAAATGATATATAAGCAATTTTGGTGACCAATGTGCCAATGTAATTAGCAACATTTTTGTATTGTTTTAACCACGTAAGTGTGCTAGCTGGGAAAGAGCATTACACCCATATTATTGATTTGGTCTTTTGGAAAACTCACACCTTTTTATTCATTCATTCAAATCTATTTGAGATCATTTAGCTTTTATATCAGAGTCAGATCTAACACGCTGAAGCGTAGCAAATGGCTTGCAGAGTTATTAGGGGCCCAAGGCAACTAAGATTAATTTAAAAAAGTGTCTGTATAAAAAATAACATGCATATCAACATTTAACACTTTGTGCAATTATTATGAAGTTAATAATCTTGACTAGTTCTTTAAATTGTGAGCAACTTTTTATTTAAGTATATTTATGAATATTAAAATAAACTACACTATTTTATAAAATTATTTACAATTTTCAAAGTTGCAACTTGAAATGACTTAAATAATCTAACACAAGGTACAATAATTAAGCAACTTATATAACTATTTTAGTAAATTAATAACTTGTTGACTCGCTTTAAAAAAAAAAATGAATGCCTCTTCTTTAAAACAAAAACAAAAAAAGCTTAAATCTACACTGCTAAAAATTATATAGTTTTTTAAATAGTTTTTATTTTTTATAGTAGTTTTT